ATGAATATTCGGATATTAAAAAGATTGAACGAATGAATATTCGAATACTTATTTTTCGACCGGATCAGACCTCTAGTTTAGATATGCAATTCCTTGTCATGTGATTACTATGACAAAATGAAATTTAAAAAAAGGTCTTATTAATAAAAGGTTAAATAATATTCTTGAGTTAAAGATTAAAAATGACTATCATTGGCTAAAATATTTTTATTTATATTAAAATTTTATCATTTTTTCAAAAAAAAATAAAATAAATTTTGGTATTAGAATTTGTATTTCTCAAATTTTCGTGCACTGACCACGAATTATTCACGGGACTGGAAATGGACATTGCATGTCGAATTGCCTAAGAAATATGAGTCTCGGACCATAATTACAATCCCAGTGTCTATAAACATTTGTAATACAGTAACACTATTTGCTGTTTGTTTAATATATCCATTGTTAAAAGAAAACTGTATCGATAAAATCTTGACTTTCATTTCTAAAATGTATGCAGGATTACTTCCAGTATTTTTGTTTGGCTTGTTTATAAATATATTTAATGATGTTATTACATTTTTGTCTATTTCAATTTCTTTTATTAATGCATTTCAATAGTACCAAACTTTTATCTTATTCAACATCGCTTCGTATTTTTTTTTCTTTTTATTCTTATAGGGTGTCTATCTCTTTTTTATACCAAGTATAGATGAAAAATGAAACATAATTCGCTTGCCCTAAGACCATGTAGCTGTATTTTTATTAAGCATATTATGTATTGAATATACAGTATAAACTCTAAGAACTTGATTTTTGATCTTCTTTTCTCATCATTTCAATTTTCATATTTAATCTTTGTGGTCTACTCTTCCATCCTGCCAATCTCCTGAACCGTAGCCTATCGATTTCTGCTCTATTACTATAGTGCTCTAATTCAGATTTATCAGGCGGCGGGGGATATGCGAAATCTTCTGCTAATGTAACGATGGCTTTTTTATATTTCGAAGTAAATTTACCTCTCAAAATGCCATCGGATTTCTTAACTGGACGTTTTGCGCCATAATTCATCGTACGTACATCAACAACTTTAAGTTTATATACGTGAAATAAATAATCACGAATATCAAGTTTGTTAATATTAGGTGGGACACGAAATGCTACTTGATTTGGTGGAAGAGTTGGAGTGCGTACGAGATGAAAAATTATATTTGGAAAGTAAATTTTTTTAAGCCCAATTCTAAAAGAGGACATTTTCGCGTTATAAAGAAAATTGCAAGAGTAAGATTGAATAGAGGAATGAATAGAGGAATGAATAATAATTTGCTCAAAGGATCGATCAGGATTTAAAATTTAACGATTATCGGTCCAATCAATTTACTTAAGATTATCTAATTTTATCCAAATCATAAATCCAAATTTTATTAATGTCGTCGCCGTATAAGAAATTATCAATAAAGAGGTTACCTGTACCTACTGAGAAAGGCACAGAAGAGTCAAGATTTTGGAAAAGATTCAAGGTAATTTTTTTCCTTCAAAAAATCGAATTAGCTTTGAATGGTGTCCTGCAATGACTATTGAGTTGTTCCTAGTGTGAAATTTTGAATTCGAATTTGTCCAATTTTTACTAATGGGTGGCAATTTTCACATTTAGAGAAATTAAAATAAATATGATAATGTTTCATGTTGCGAGGTCTTACATTATTCCTATCTTTCTACTTTATTTCTCTAGCTACGTTGTTCGCTTTCCGAGATTGCATCGGTAACTTCCATCAAGTTTAGTCCTATACAACCATTTGATTTCGCTGTAACATCATCTACCCGTGTTCAAATCTACTCAACACAAACCTATAAAGTAAAAAAAACTATATCAAGATTCAATGATATCGCTTACTGTGGGACCATTCGAAACGATGGCAAACTTCTTGTGGCTGGTGATGCTACGGGATTAATTCAAGTATACTATCAAACATTATATGTATACAAATTGGACAAATATATTTAAATTGTTATTTATCTTAGGTTTTTGATATAAATAGCAGAGCAATATTAAGGACTATGCAAGGTCATAATCAGTTAGTATTTGATTTACAAGAATCATTTCTTTATCTATTTAATTATTAAAAAGGTGTATTATAATAATTTATAAAAAATTTTCGTTTTTTAGCCCTGTGCATATTACCAGATTTGCATCCGGAAATACTCAAATTCTTTCTTGTTCCGACGATAAAACTGCCCGTATTTGGGATATTCCCGGACAAGAAGCAACATCAATTTTCAAAGAACACCAGGTTTGTTATAATCCTTTGCAGTTGTTGCCCCATTTCATTATCATATCATTCATTCCTTTGTCCAAAATATAGGATTATGTGCGTGCTGGATTAATAAGTAACGATAATCCTCATTTGGTTTTGACAGGATCATATGATCAGTCAATCAAGCTCTGGGATTTACGTACAAATTCTTGTACTATGACAATGTCACATGGAGCTCCTGTCGAAGACGTTTTGATGTTTCCTGGTGGAGGAATGATAATTTCAGCTGGTATATATGACATCAGATTAAATAACTTTTTATGATTATTTATGAAACTTACATCTTTCTTCGCAGGAGGACCAACCATAACCGTATGGGATCTTGTTTCTGGTGGTCGTGTTGTACGATCTGTATCAAACCACCAGAAAACAATCACATCAATGTGCTTTGACGGATCTTCATCGCGTCTTCTTACTGGATCTTTAGATCATCATGTTAAAATCTATGATGTTCAGAATTATGATGTGGTCCACAGTATTGAATACAGTTCTCCGATACTATGTATTGCTCTGTCTGTAAGTATCTTTTTTCTTTTATTATTTTCTCTACAGGACCTTATTTAATTGTTTCCTAAATCACGTACAGCCAGACGATACCCACATCGTTGCCGGAATGACATGTGGTACTTTATCTATTCGTCGCCGAAAATTGGTGCAAAAAGAACTCAGTATGTCCCACCAAAATAAGCAGCCAAGAGTTGGTTCCTATAAATACTTTACACGTGGTCAAACATATAGCGGTAGTCAGGTTAGGAAAAAAAAATAGAAATTCCGATATACGTTCGTGTTGATCCATTTTAATAGATTATTTAAATTATAGGATGATTTTATAGTAGAATCTAAACCAAGAGAACGTCTTGCATTATATGATCGTTACTTGAAAAAGTTTCAATACTCGAATGCACTTGATGCTGCATTAAGAAACGTAAATAACCATTATCATTATTATTGATATGTTTTAAAATAATGAAACTAACATTAAGTTTTATATAACTCAGGGAACCCAAGCGATTTTAACTATTTCACTGTTACAAGAACTTATCCGTCGGGATGCTCTACGACAGGCAATTGTCGGACGTGATGATCTCTCTTTAGAACCTTTGGTCAAGTTTCTGATAAGATGGATAAATGAACCAAGATATACTAGCATATTAATTGATGTAGGAAATGTTATAATCGGTAAAGATGGTTTCCTAATTGTTATTTAGTTGTAAATACGTAGCTAATACTTTTTTTTTTTTTTGTAGATGTGTATTCTTCAGTGATTTGTAAATCTCCGTTAATCGAAAAATTGATGACCACTTTACATGCTAAAGTAAAAACGGAGATGAATTTACAGAAAGAAATTGCAAAAATTATTGGTTCTTTAGAAATGGTTGCCAAGGGGTCTTTGTTAACTAATACTAATAATTATATTTAATGCGGCGACTGGACATCAAAACATTCATGTTTATAGAAGTGTCACAAATAATTTTACAAAAATTCTTTTTACTTATTTGTTGCATTTTGTTAAGGCTACAATTCTGTTAGATTTTTGTTCCTCTATTAGTTTTAAAAAGTTTAGAATTTAGAAACTTGACGTCTAATATATATAAAACAAATTATATGGTTTATAAACTTATAATTATATCAAGATTGTTTTCATACAAGTTTTTTTTTATATAAAACACATTTTGCAAGTTTAGATTAGAGGTCTGATCCGATAAATAGCATATTCGAATATTCAATGAATATTCGAATATCCGAATATATAATTGTTTTACTGAATTGAATATTCGAATATAAAAAATTTTTACATTGAATATTCAATGAATGTATACTATCTAATCGACCAATTAAATGCAAGATTGGGTGTTATATGTCATGCTCAATCTCATATATTGATTGGTTAGCAATGCTAATAATCATGAGCCCAAAGTAGATGAGCAAGATAAATCCTTATTAGCTAGAAGATTCTCTATTGATTTATTTATTTTAATGTAGCTTTTAAGTATAAAATTCATTTGTTGGCTTGTGTATTTAAACTCTCAATTATTCAACTTCATAATTGTCTTAATTCATTATTGTCTGAATCAATAACTCTATTTCATGATTATCAATATTTAATGAATATTTAATGAATATTTAAATATTTATTTGAAATCTGCTAATGAATATTCAGATATTAAAAAGATTGAATAAATAAATATTTGAATATTTATTTTTCGACTGGATCAGACCTCTAGTTATACAGTATGACCAAGGTAGTGTTTTGAACCATCAACCAAAAGTTCAACCAGGGCTGATCCGGGTAGACTTCCGGGAATTCCCAGCCAATTGCTAATATTTATTTACATTGGGTAAAATAGGATTGACGCATCCTATTTTACCCGATGTAATCAAAACATCAGCGATTGGCTGGGAATACCCGGAAGTCTACCCGGATTAGCCCCGGTTGAACTTTTGGTTGATGGTTCAAAACACTAGACCAAGGTCATAAAGTCATAAGCAGTGTTATAAATTCAAAAAATTTTTATTGATGCAAATACAAAAAAAATATGCACTAAGAAAAAATTTATACGTGCGTTATATATACGGGGAGCACTAATATATGCACAAATTTAAATTTATGTGTGCTGCGCCTACTGTGCTGATCTAATTTACATCACTAGTCATAAGGTTATAACGTTATGACCAGTAGTCATATGACTATTATGACTTAGGTCATATAACTTAATTCATGTCATAACTCGGTCATAACCTTTAACTAGGGTTCGAGGCACAGGGGCATGGGCATGCCTTTTGGGCATGCCTTGGGGGCATGCCTATGGGTATACCACTTGGCTATTAGGCATGCCCTAGTCATGTGATATGTGTGTCGTATCTGATTGGCCAGTATATCATAGTGAGGTCATCAGAGTTGTAAATTTTTTAACATTTTAATTAGTATAATGACAACAAAATTTCAATTTAAGAA